TTTATTGGTTGTGCCGATAATCCAGATTGCCCTTAATCCGTGTATTCGGATGTTCGGAAATACGCTCGCGAGAGGATCCCCGATTGGTAAGCAATATTTTACTGTAATCGTGGTTATCTTCTGTCGTCTATTTTCAATCTAAAAACGCGGAGGCGTCCGCGGCTCAAAAATATAGAAAGGTCACGGAACCTTGTTATCTCTCGGATTAATTGCGTCCGCAAAGAACAGAAAATTGAATTTTAGTTTAATCGTCGATAAAGGTTAGCAAAAAAAGGGCGCTTATCGTCGCTATATCGCATAGCGGCATAACGAATTAATTCAAGCACTGCAACGTTGGAAATATGTATGAGATTAAATCTATCGTCCTGATGGTCCTGATTCTCTCTTCTTTCACATCACGCTGATACACATGGAGTATTTAAACTTCTACATTTGAATGGACGCTTTGTAATACAGAGAAGGAAAAAGCTCGTACTTAAATAAATTAAATTATTTAAAAAAACGAATTTAAATTTATGTCCAATTATCGTCTTCTCATTCAAAGATAAATGCTGACGGAATATAAAGACAAGGAATAAATAGCGCATTTGTTTGGATTATGCGACGTTATTAATCGATGTGCAAATTTTATTGCATTGCTTGCAAAGTGATTTAAGGAACAACGCTTCTTCAAATTTGTTCGTGCTAAAAATTTGAGTCGCGATCTTCAAATATCTCCCATTCCAACGCACCAGGCCTAAAATTTATTGGCGCGAAGTATTTATTGTGTTTTCTCGCATATTTTTGCTCGTAGAAACAACTCGTTTATCTACATGCTTGCCAATCGAGTAAGCGCCATTTACGCGTAAGATTTTGCGTCGCGTTTGCTCATGCATCTACGGATGCGAACGCACCCGTGCACGATAATATATCGTATAAATAAATCACGAGAACGATGACACCATTTATTGCGACGAGCTATGAATGTGGCGTCCGCGATGACTTACCTCAAACCTTTGCACATCACATATACATTTAATTTGTATTTAACATTCGCGGTTATCGTATTTGCGTAGTTGCACTAAACAATTGGCGCCTGTTCAAAATATTGCCATTCGCAATTCGCTATGCATCGCCGGTGAAGAGTTTATCAAAAATTGCGAAAGTCAAAGGCGATAACCGGTAGTTGATATTTTGTATAGTAATAGATTTTGCATTACAAATTTCTTCGTTGATTGATTTTCGTATTTCATTTTGCAATTTGGAAATCGGCAGCGTAAAGTCGGAAGTTTGTCGAAAATTGACAGTTATTTGTATTTGTATACATGTGTTATATCTAACATGGGTAAACAAATTCTCTTTCTCTCTTTTTTTCCCGATATTTTTCACGCTCGTACGACCCAGGACGACCGTCCATTCGTCGAAATTTCGTCGTTACACGGTTCGCGATAGGCATCTGACATTCGTAAACAATCGTCGGCGCCAAAATTCACCGATGACTCGACGCATCTTGTCCCGCTCGGGCGCCTATACTAATCGGCTACGCAAATATACAAGAGCCACACTCTTTCGTACCTTGTACGCTCGAAAGCCGACGTAATCTATGGACTGGTAGGTATTTTAATTGACAGACTGACGGACTGACGGACTGCCGGACTGCCGTGGGTCGCGCACGCGCGTCGAGGCTACTCAAATCCTATAATATCTCCCTATCTCGAGTCTCGAGCACTTTCTTCCCGAATAAATGCTCGTGAATCAGCGCTCCGGCACGCGGCGGTGATGTCAATCTTTGCTCAGCTGACTGACGAGATTGGCCTCACCTTCCTCGCTGGCGCACACGGGACGATCTTTCCTCGGCCTCGCATTCTTTCGCGCCGGTGCGCGGTGTAAACGCTCGACTTCGCGCTTGCCAAGATATCGGTGAGGAGGCGCGGCGACGGTAAACGGTGCATCTCTTCTCTCACACACAACCACGCACGTACGCCATGCCGATGTTATCACGTCGCTCCGAATCTGTCCGTTGCGAAATCCTGAAGATTTATGGGTATCAACTACCGGCGTTAGTAGCGGTCTACTTTACTTGCAATGTTGATATTTTGCTGGAATATCACCGCGCTTGTATCGTTTTGAAGCGTGCGATGTATATTCTTCAGCAGCAGCGTTTCTCAACTTTTGTTTTAGAGAATATTTAACGTGTATTTATTTAAAAAATATGCGAGAAAATTATTTTACGCAGGAAATAAATAGTAATCTTATATGAATATAAATGTGAAATGTGATATATATGGCGCCGATAAAAACTTAACGTTCATTGTTGTGCCAAATATTTAGTTTATTGCGTATGTTTAATGCACTAAAAAAATTTTTTTTTCATATTTAAAAAGCCTTACTTAAATTAAGTAAAGATATCTAATTCTAAATAAATATGTAATTATATTAAGTAAATATGTTGTTAGGAGTATTCAAGTATTAGTTATAGTTAGGAGTTAGCTAGGACTTAGTTAGGAGTATTCAAGGAGTATTTAAATATGAAAAAATTTTTTTTTCAGTGTGTGAAATCCGCGATAAAGAATCAGTATATGTTTCATTGCTAGAAAGATATATATCTTCTGCTTGTAAGTTGCTCGTTTTAAAGTTGTACTAAACTTTCGTTTATTTCATTTTTCAGTGTATTATTATTCGCGCAAGCTGAGTTACATTTATGTGATATTTCCTTCCGTGATATTTCCGCCAGCATCCATTTCCGCCGAACGGCGACGCCAGACGGGCAAGAATTCGCGTTGCACTGTCGTGCGCGATTGTGTCTTCGTTTATCGAATAAATAAATTCGCCGGCAGCCGGGTATTTTTCTCTACGGTACGTGCAATACTCGTATATGTATGTACGTATAATACTACATATGTATATACGTATAGCCTCGTGCATTTAATGTATATCGCTTTGCCACCCCGTGACCGATGAATTCCAGCCGGCGGCGGCGGCTGAATCATCGAAATAAAATATCATCGATCGCCATTTGAACGTCGATCTCCATGACTCCATTAGCAAAGACGAGCCGTTTTATTTGAAAGTCGTGACGCATCGGCGATGAATTACACGCGCAAGTAGTGCGTTCATAGGAACGCGATAATATACCGTGAACTCTTCGTCTGAATCTCACTTTCGGTACGATCTCGATTGGCAACAATCTCTAATTAATTTCAAATTTTTAATGCTATTTATATTATCTGTGTTACATACAACAGTATCATTTTACAAATTATAAATAGATAGTTTAAGTTAAGGATTTTAATTTTCCTCGTTTTTTTCGCTACCGTTCGCGTTTCAAAGTCGACCGAGTTGTTCCGTTCGCTCTCGTGCCCCGTATTTTTCTCTCCGACGCCGACGCGACGCGGCAACAAAGTATCGAAGTAATAAAGTTACGGCCACGTCGAGATTTAATGTCCCACGTTCGTCGCAGCGGCGTTTTCAGTTGCAAGCAATTGGCAACCGGTATTACACACGAGCGCAACGGCCGTTATCGCAGAATCGCTTGCGTAACGACGCTAAATCATTGCACGGCGATCGAATGCACGCACGGCAGACGGAAAAAACGTGGACGGGCGCGAAGAATAAAGCACCTCGTCCGCGGAGAATGACTCGGGGGTTGGAAAGCGAGGGACGCTGCATTAATTCTAGCCGGCTCCGCTACCTAGACTACGATAAATCTCGATCTCGTTCTGCTCCGAGACGGAAATGCAGCCCACGTGTACCTACGTCGGCGTCGCTCGATTCGAACTCGCTCTGACTGCACTCGCGGCGATTTAACACGCGATATATTGTCCCTACGTGTTATTCTGTTACGCCAGTTACGCGGATATCCATAAGGTATACAGCGATGATAAATACGGTGTATCTATCTACGTGCAACCAGTATCAATTGACATTAGAACACAAGGCAGAACAGCGCTTTATCTCGTTTGTAAAACTAGCCATTTTGAAGAGATAATTTTTAATATTTGTTCGTTACTCTATCTTGATGTTTCAATGTTGGAGCGGTGATAAATATAAAAAAAAGTTTTTTTGATGCTTGCTTCACGGGTCTTTGAATATGAATGCGTTTTGCAAAACGTAGATTTAAACCGCGATAAATCGGTGGCTTTTATAATTTTTCCAGCTTTGATAACCGCAGCCAGAATAATTAATCTAAATAACCAACAGCTACGCACACACGCTCGCGTTTACACACGCGTGGTGTCCCTTTAAACATAAATTTATGAAGTGTCTCAAACAAAAACTATGTAAACACCTCACAAAACACAACTCTTTTGTACGAATAGGATACGCTTGGCAAGTTACTGTTTCGCGTGATATATTTTTCGTAAGAGCCTATTATACGTATAAACGACGCAGTTCCTGCGTAATTCCGTATGGGTAATATTCCGGTCGTGCACGCCGCTTTTTAATTATATCAACTTTAAAACGCCATTATGCGTCCCGAAAAACAACGGCTGTTTTAACAAGAATATGCTGTTCGCCTACTTTTTTCCGACGAAATGAATGCTGCCGAACGGATATAAATTTTACAGATTTATGCAAGAGAGAAATTAATTCTAGTATTTATTACGATGATTTCCGTCTCCTTTTTTTTTACTCTGGAGAGAACCTGGAGAGAATCTTTACGTAACGCCTTTAAGTGGCTAACCTGCTGAAAACTTCAATCCTTTTATGAGCAGCGCTTGCACATCGCTATCGATAATAAATTCATCGCAATGCTACAGAATCTCGACAGGCAGTATAATATTGGGACGTTTGTTTTTTCTTGGCGAAAGTTCATCTTCTGCCGTAATTCATTATTAGTTTCCTATCGATGCCGCGAGTCGGAATAATTCGTGTTTTCGTCTAATCGACAGTTCGCGGTCGAGCCATTCATTTAATTAAATCGCCGTCGCGGTGGTTGCGCGTTTATCCCCACGGAAACTTAGGCAATTGGGGCGAAAAGTGCAAGGACAGATCGGAATACGATTAATAATTTATTCCAGGCACGTCGTTTGGCGAGTCGGCGACGCGGGGCGATCGTGAACAGGTGGGCGAAAGAAAAGAATCGAGACGGAACGGCGGCGACTGGAAGGACGACGAGAGGTCCACAAGGAGCACGCGGATCGCCAGCTGGACAGGTAAGGGAGAACCTGTTGAATTAATGTCAACCCTCCGGCATTCCACGTCTACGTCTAATTTGCACCACGCGTATCCGATATAATAGTTATTAATTTTGACAAGTATGATGCGCAATGAAATGATGATTGCCGGATCGAAAACAGCCGTCGATGCGTGTATTATCCTGGCAGACTCGAAATGATATTCACGGGTGTTTCCTCAATAATTACCGTGTCTGCCGATCACGCTGCTCGCGCACGTACGACGTTTCCGCCGATCAACGTGCGTCTGCCGCTCGTAATTGAAATTGATCGGGAATTAACGTCGCGCTTTAAACGATGGTTTCCCAGAGTAAAACTCATTGATGCGCGACAGATGTAGTACATGAGAAATAATAGAAAAGATTTTAAAAGAGATATCGTTCGAAATTAATCGATGTCTGAATATTTGCCAATCAATTTGCCAATCAAATTGAGATATTATAAACTTTTATAACATGAAACGGTAATACAAGTTTTTGAAGGTAAAAAAAAAGTAAAATGTTTAGAGAAACAAACGAGCTTTGCTGAAAGAGTAAATATTTCCTTGAAAATAATATTGTAGAGATATAATCTCGTATCGGAAATAATATTTGTTATTTGACTTAGCGAGCAACGAGCAACGAGCGTACAGCTCACGAGTACGTAGTCGCGAACAAGTTTCGTCGGCGAAGGTGCAGTCGTTCGACGGCGACGGGAAACAGAATATTCTGCTTCATTAATTTAATCAGCTATTTTAGGGAAGCCGCGAGCGGGGCCGTCTTCGAAATTTTAGACACTATCGACGAACTTTACGGGACGCCGCAAACTACATGGCTTCCCTCCTGATATAAACGCGAACAATAGTAACTTGTTTCGAAGTCGATAATACCCGTGGTATACGATGTAAGAATAGCTGCCGTCAAACGCGTATCTCACCATAGAATGCATCGGTTACACTGTCAGTGCAGCAGATTTATGCGAACTGGGTGTGTACAGTTATCGAACCCTTGTATATCCTTTGTAAGTAGAATAACTAAAACTCGCAACATTATAATAATTTAGGGAGCCACTTCTTACGGACAAGACTGCTACAAGATATATCGGGAATATTACTTGTTAATGTTTACAATTAATAATAATATGTATGCAACTATTTGCGCTTGCATTTGAAATAACACGGCCCGCTAATGATCAAATTTTTATCAATAAATTCAGTTCGGGTTACATTACGTTGAAATTATTAGCAGTTCGAATAACGAGCACATCGATACTATTATTAATATTTATTGTGTTTATTAATGAACTAATTGAACCATGTGTTTACATAATGTTGCGAGTATCAAAATGTGATAAATAACAATTAAATTTCCATTGTCCAATACTAAATACATTTTGTTTCTTTTGCAAAATATGAAACAGGGCATTTAGAATTTTGCGAAAATTATAACTTCACTAAGTGCTTAATATATAAATGAGCGGATAAGCAATCAGAAAGTAAAATATTCGGTCATAATTTGTTGAGCTGAGATGGCCGCGATATCGCGCGTACTCGAGCTCTCTCAAGTTTTGCGCGTAACTTTAAAATGAGTTAAATCAACGACGCTCGAAAACTTTCGGAAAATCGTTTAATTCGTATGGTTGCTATTTGATAAAGATATTTGATTTGCTATAAACAAATAATTTTCATAATTTTACGTCGCATAATTATAAATTTTTCATCAATACACAAACAACACTTTTCGTTTCTTCATAATTGTCTTCTTCAAACATCTCGTCGCTTTGACTTGCCAATTTTTGGCTGTCGTGTTAATCCACATTGCAATGTCAAATTTGAATTTACCAGCCGCTGAAGCGGATTGTACGAAACAGCACGAGGCTATTGTGTTGCAAGATACGAGAGCCATCATGGAACAAAATATATTTTATTTCCCAAAAGAATATTATTTGCGAATTTATCGCGTGCGGCCGACAACTTTTACGACGCCATTGGCCCGGAAACGTTCAAGCGAGACGTTTCGTGGGTGTCCCACGTTTGCCGCGGATTATCCAATTACGTTATCTGCTCGCCCAAACTCTCTCTCTCTCTCTCTCTCTCTCTCGGCTAGATCGAGATTTTTCGATGTACTCTGCATATATTTCTCTTATATATTTGTTTTTTTACTTTTCCCTCACTCGGCATCACACTTTCGCCCCCGCGAGATAAGCGCTATCTTTTTGAGTGCTCGGAATGCTGATATGTACCTCCGCGGCTCAGCGCGATGGAATGCAACCTTATCGTCGTGCCAACTAACAAATATTCCGCGCGCGGCTAATGCGTATAGTCCCAACGCACACACACATTCGGGGAAGAGAAATAGAGAGATAGAGAGCGAAGAATAGCGGGAGAGATTGCTCGCTAAAACTCCACCGTGCAAATATTTACCAAAATGTTATACATTATTCTTTCCCTCCGCTTCGTCCAGCATTTGACATACAATAGTCTCGGCAAATGGATTCCCCGACTGCGTTATGAAAACACGCGAGAGCATGGGAAGCGGAATGAAGAGACGAGTCGAGAAAGAGAAAACCATAACGTCGACTCTGTAGTACCTCTTTATTAAACCTGGGGACATGTTCGATTATTGGAGAATGCCCTACTTTTTTTCGGGGCGCTGTGCAAGTGGTTGCAAATTGTTGACGTTTGTGTAAACAGGGATATGACGACGTTATTATTGTTATGGCGTAAACTGTGTTTGTTGTTCGACACAGAATTTTAGATAAAAATATCACGAGAAAAAATGTATCCCGTGTTTCTTAACAAATCTATTTAAACAGTCGCTATAACCGTAATAATATAGATTTTGTATTAAATTTAAATTGATTCTTAATTAAGATTATGATCTGAAATTCGATTGATAATGGTTAATTTTTATTTTCATATTTTTTTATCTTATCGTCAAAAAGGTTTATGTTATGAAGATAACTTTGTAACTCTAAAGGAGAGTATTAAAATATGATTTTAAGATTAATGGTATATTTTAAAGGCGTTCCACATTTTGCAAACAGCGATGATGGTAATAATACATGGTATAAGATAGTTTTGTTAGTCTTTATCATTGCTTACCGACTCGAGTAAATAGTATTTTTAATCGGTGTCGAAGTCTATATGTAACTTTTCAGAAGCACTCCGACCTAGCGGTCCGTTGCTGCTTCTTCATTTCATGAGTATCCCGGCCGGCGGATTCCATTAGTGCATTACGAAAATATGCGTTCGGGAAAATAGTTTGATCGCGAAGTCATGCCGGTCGCGGACTTTGTGCCGTCATTAAGACATACCCGCGATAAGACGCGCGAATTTATCGGCTCGTGATCCATTGGAACGCGAATGATCGATCGCGAATAAATCGGGTCATTGTCTAGCGATTTCTAACGTATACAAATATAAAATGGTGTAATCTATTTCATAATTAAGAGAAAAATCACCGAAGTTAAATGAAATCGGAACAAATAAATTAACTATTAAAATATCTAAATAATATTTTTTTTCAACGATATATTTATCTAAATGTTAGCTTTCTTAACAACTTGAATTTTTTCATAGCGAAATATCGATCAACCGCAATAATAACCAACATAGTTTTGAACAATTTCCCAAGAGGCCTTTTCGGGTCAGAGAAGCGTGCGTATACTTTCTTTTTCGAAACTGTTTACGGGGAGTAATATCTGTATCCTTATTCGTTATGCAGTGATATTTCAATTAATGCCGAGACTCATCGATTTAACATTGCAAGCGGGGCATGATCGAAAAATTATTCGACCGACTTTTACTCCGGGTAACACCGATAAAAATGATAAAATTGACGTTAATTAATAATATCGAGGTCGCAGCCTTCTCACGGAACGGTATCGCCATCGATATAAGTTTCAATTATAACGCCGGGACATCGTTGCATCATATCTCGTATATGCGCGTCGCTTTTCGTCTCGAAGGAACCGGCGCGGCGGCCAATTAAATTTGTCTCCTTGCGTCTCGATCGGTCATTAATCTCCCGCACATCGACATCTCGGGCGTGACATTAATCATTATTACTCTCCTCGCGCCGGAAACCGTCGTAACACGTGAAAGTTGACACGCGGTGATTTGTCTTAATTAACGATTATTTCACGGATTTGATTGCATTACCACGCCGAGCGGTGACACTCGTCATTAAGACTGCTACCGGAACTGCGCTGTAATCCATGCTCAAATTTGTTCGTGGAAATCGTGCAATTAGCTGCGTTGAACGTGCCGCATTTACTATCGTCGCGTTTGTTTTCTCTCAAGAGCAACGCTCTTGGGAAACTCGAATACACGTCGTCCGATTTAACATTTTTTTTGTTTTGTTTTTTTAACGAGTTAATAATTAGAGAATTTGAGTTTGTAGCAATTCTTTGTCGCAACATCCCTTGACGCATTTTACCGTGCATTCGTGCAACCCATGCAGTTTCTCCTTGGCTGCAAACGAGTGAATCGCTTCCAAAATGATTCGCATTTCTCAGCGATACGCAGCCATCTTGTCACATATATTACACGGCGGATAATCACGTACGTTTGCGAGAATTATATTTACGATTTTCTCGGAGATAACTATAATTGCGCTCGCAATCCGCTTTGCTTGCTAGTCATAGCTATTATAAACTCGGGCGGGGATTATACGTATATATGTATGTATATATGTATATACATATTCTCGACGCGTACAGTTTTTAAATAAATTCTACTTCACACCATAATAGATTACGTAGAAACACAAAAGCCGGTACGTAACGATATAACACCCGTTGGATCAGCCGGGGAAATAGTGTTTTGTTTCGGATTATAATCAACCGAGGAGAAGTCTACACACGAGGCAAACTTTTCTGACTGGCTTGTGCCACGCCATCCGTATAATATGTACATATATGCAAGATGTCTGTGTATATATCTTGATGATAAACCGATGAAGCGATAAATTTTTTTCAGTGGAAAAAGTATTGTACGA